CTGTATTCATTCTCACAAAAAGGAGCCTGGAGGGCTAGAGAGATGGCTCTGTGGTAAAGAGCACTTGTTGCTCTTGCAGAGGACCTGGATTCAGTTCCCAGCACCTACATGGCAGCTAGCAACTGCCCTTAACTCGAGATCCAGGGGATCCAATGCCCTCTTCTGGCCTCCACCAGCACTGCACGCATATGGTAGGTACTTGCACACATGAAAAATTTTTAAATAATTTTTTTTCAAAAAGGAGCCTGGAAAGGGCAAGCTAAAATACTACAAAATGATGGAATATGTAAACCTTGATCCCTGGAGGGAGAGGAAGGACCTTTCTTCCTTTCATCAAGTCCACACACTGGTCTGCCATACAGATGCTAAGACAACCACCTGCCAGAAGGATCTTTGCCATAAAATCAAGGTGCCTAAATGTTTTGTGAATAAATGCATTTTCCAGTGTTTTCAGTATTTTGAAGGAGCCTCAGAGCACACCCATCCCTTTGCATATGCTGGTGTTCTTAGAGATCTAGGAGGCACAGTAAGACTTCTGAGAAAGTCCACAGCAAAGAAACTTATTTAACTTTTTAAACTAAATTTTCCCTAAATTCCTTAGACTTTGATCCTTTTTCCCTAAATACTATCAATTAGCATTACAGAAAACCAGTATCATGGGGTCCACACTTTGATTCTATATCGTTTTTTAAAAAATCAAATCCTATTTCTCTGCTGACTTATAAAAACATTTCAGAACGTTTCTCTCATTCCTTGTTGACTTTATCTAATAAAACTTAATTTCTAAACCAAGGTCACAGTTTTGCTAGAAGGTCTTACTTAAAATGAAAAGAATGTTTGGTGAATTCGTTAGCAAAATGTAGTTTCCCTAAAAGAAAGATAACATAGTCTTAGATACTGACTTTTAGTTCATTCATTCATTCCTCACCCACCCAACCTGTGAGAAATGCTGCAACAAGAGGCGATTCACTGTGGATGGGATGAGTCCTCTACAGAGATAACAACAGAAACGTCCTAATTCCCTGCTATCTGGTAAGAGATGGGGTAAGTAGGTATCAAATAAAGCTCAAAGCAAGGCTCATAGTTAATATGAGCGTTTGCAGCTGTAGGCAACAGAAATTCAACTCCAACTAGCTTGACTAAAAGAGGGAATGTATCAACTTATTACTTGGGAAGTTCAAAGATGAAGATGGCCTGTGTACAATCAGATCTATGAAGTTGGTTTGCCCTCCATCTTTCTCCTCTTTGTTTTCATCTCCACAGTTTTATCACTCCTAGTTCAAACAGGCTTTTCCCATGGGGCAAAGAAAGTAACAATCCCAAATCCATTCACATCCTTGCAACATGACCAAAAAACAAGACACACACACACACACACACGCCAAATGTCTCTCCATCAAGGATTCTCATGTTCCAAACCAGCCATTGCATTCCAATCTCCAACCCATCCTAGAACCAGGGCCCAGGTGCCTGCAGCCTGCAACTACAAGCTCCTCTCCTACCCACAAGAAGCCCAGGTTAGCATTGCAGGTGGCACAGATGGTCACATTTCTGGTTTCACGGAATGAAGTCACTGTGAAATATCCAAACAAACAGAAGAAAGGCTGCCTGGGGCTCCGACTGTAATTTTTAAGAGCCATCTTTTGTTCTTCCTGGTTGGGTTGGGTTTTGTTCCAGGTAAAGGTGAACAGCTCAGAGGCATAAATGTTTTTCTTTCCTTACATGTTTTCTTTTCTTCCTCTGACCTACATTTTTCTTTTCTTCCAAGGGAAAAGTAAAGCCACTGCTTTTAAAATGGAAGAAGCATCAGTCACAGTACCAACAGCATGTGTATTCAAAGAATCAGAACTTTTTTTTGCCTGTTTGAATTGAGGGTTTTTTTTTTTTTCAATATAGTATTACTTTGCTAACTTCCCCTAATTCCAGTGTCTTAGTATATCATCAAATTCTATTGTTTTGATTTAATGAGGCATAAAGAAAATAGAGTCCATGATCCTGAGACACTCTAAAAGCAAATAACTAGAGAAGAGAGTTCACCAATGCGACTTATTACACAATTTTAAACATTTAAGCACACACTGTAATCTGAATGTATACATTACACAAACTAGGTTTAACAACATACCCAAATCATTAGTCTTTATCCAAAGTCCTTTAAGAAGGACTCTTAGTTATTCATTTATCTATTTTGGTTTTTGTTGGTTTTGCTGCTGCTGCTGCTGCTAAGACAGGATCTCACACTGGATCCCAAGCTGACCTGGAATTCTCAGTGATCTTCCTGCCTCGGCCTCCTGAGTGCTGGAATTACAGACATCTGTCATCGTACTCAGCTGTTAATAAGGATTCTTGAGCTTCCTCAGGCATATTCAGTTCTAGATTTTTCTGTTTTAGTGTTTCTCAAATTGTGCTCTGGGAACCCTAGTCATCGAGTTGCATGGAAGAACTTGCTGAAAAGCTTCATTTCATATCTTTTGAGTTGAGAAAACTTTGTTTTGTTAAGCTTTATAAAAAGTACTTCTACAACCTAAAATATGAGAATCTCTGTTCTAAAACTTTGAGAGGTTTTATTGGGATTTTTGATTCTAGTGTCAGATATTTTTATATATTTAAGGTGGAATAAAGTTATTGTGAATTCCAAGAATTTCTTCCACATTATTTTGTCAGTAAAATGTAACCAACAATTCTGCAGGTCATGCTGTTTTGAAGTTGTGTGACAAAAGTATTCACACACCTAGTTACATAAGGCAGATGACCCTCAGATCTAAAAATACCCACCCTAAATAGGTCACATATTAATGAATAGGAAAGGTAAATTTCATTGTAACATTTTTGTGGTCACAACGAACAATTCAATGTGATTTTATTATCATGAGTACATTTTAAGAACTAAGTGATGATGAGATACAACTGAAATTAATCATATAGATGTTTTTTACAAAAAAGCAATTATAGTTGTAATTTTTGTTCCCGATGAACCACCTCGCCTCTTTGTAAACATGACTTTTATTTTCAAGACAATTTATAAGTAAATATATTCACCCCCATTTCCCCACCCCAACAATACTATAACAATAAAAAGTCCATGAATTTAGACATAGAAGAACCTTAGGAACTATGGAGTTCAACCCTCCTTCTAAGATGAAGAATCCAAAGGCCAAATCACCAGGCTGATGACAGGGCCAGAACTCCAAGGGTCTCCATTTCCCAGCCCTTGTCCTCCTGGAGTATGCAGGTAAATAGTTCTTTGTGGAACAGTCACTGTTTTCAAAAAGTCTGTGATGGCTGAAAGCAATATACATACATGTATGTGTATATGTAGATCTGTACTCTGGGAACATATATCTATATATCAGATAAGCAATGGAATAAGACAAAGGCCACATGTAAAGCATGAGCCTTGAAATAAATGTTGTTCAGCCACTTTAACTACTCTTTTTTTTTTCTCCCCTGCTATTCAGGCTACATGGTAGAAATGTTTGAAAAGCCCAGAGCTGCTTCACCATCCCAACCAAAATCTGACAAAACTAAAAATGAAGAGACAACATGATCCATCAGTAGATATGAGTAATTTCTTAGTATCTTATGAAGATACATCTTGTGTGGCTGAGAATAAACCAAATAATGTTGGAAAGCTCTTCTCTCATGACTCCTTGAATATCTGCTACAGACCTGAGCCCGGGTTTCATTTATTCATTCTATTGTTCAACAGATATGTATGGAGCATCAACTAGGAACTAGAAGCTATGACATGCCTCATAATACTAACTGACAGGGGAAAGCAAACCACACTCATAATTGTCCTGTGTTGGGTTGCCAGGTGCTTCTCAACTATGTTGAGCCAGAGAGGATTCCCAATGCAAATGGCATCGAGTTGTCTTGAAATACAACTAGTTTACCTAGTGGAATAGTGGAAGGGGTAGAGGAGACACTTGCAAGCCTTGGGAACAGCTTATGCAGAGGTATAAACATGTAGATCAGATGAGCCATTGGAGAGAGGGTTCCAGAGATCACATCCAGCACAAGACTCCAAACTGGTGACTGAGGAAGCTTTGAGCACTGACTCCAGAAAGAGAAATCTGCCCTTGTGCTTCCTGTCTTGGGAACCATAGATGCCTTCTCAGCTCTCAAAGTTGACCTCTTCCAGCAAAACTGCTGAGATTTCTAGAGTCCAAAAAGAATCCTTAGAAGGAACAATGTCTAATGATCACAGATGGAAAAACGATGCATTCCCACAGTTGCTATAAATCAGGTCTCCTTTACCAAATCCCTTAGTACACAGATCACATAGCAGGTTTTGGATTGGTGAGAGATGGGTGGGTGATAGACAGGAGTTCAAACAGGGTTCCTCTGTTTACAAGCTGGGTGACCAGAGAAGTTGCATGCCTCCCTAGCATCACCTTCTTTCTGTAAATGCCCTACTAGTTTGATATGAAGCTTAGACATGATGTAAAGCAAGGCACCTGTCACTGTGGCTAAATGATATTGGACCTCCACTGGGGTCAGACCTGTAATATTTGCTCTATCACATGACCAAGCTTTACTGAGTACCTACTACAGAAAACACAAATTAAGGATTTTACTCTCAAGGACTCAAGGACATTAGTCTATATAATGGAGATAGGACAGACCCAAATAACTATGCTGAAGAGGAGCTTAATGACCAAGAGAAATGGAGAGAGATCACTGGGGAAGTGGAGAGAGAGATTACTTGCTCTAGTGTGGTGGGGAAGAACCTGGGGTTGAGATGTAGGGAAACTGGCACTTTCCTTTTGCATGACTTCTGATATGACTATAGACTTTGACCATACGATCCTCTCAGTGAAGAACCTAGACAGATTCGGGAAGGGCCAACGGATGACCCCATGTCACACTCATGGACAAGGCAGAGTTCAGAACAAGCCTCTCCCCTCACCCTCCATTTCTCATCCAAACCACTAGCCACACATCACTCTACCTCCTAAACCCGGCTCCGTTCGCAGGCGTGGAACACAGGACTGGCCATGTGGAAACAGCAGAAAGGCCGCTATGGGGTAGCTGGCCACCGTCCCAGGTCAAAGAGAGCAGGGACTCTCTCCTGGGGCGCGGTGAGAGGGGAGGGCCGGGGCGGGCCGGACTGCGGTGGGAGGGCAGGCGGAGGGGCGGGCAGAAGGTACCGGCGGTACCCGGCGGTCCAGGATACTGGCTTTGGCCAAGGCCAAGGAAGCCCGCACTCTGGCTGGCGGGCCATGGGGCTGCGGGCTCGAGGGCTGCATCCGCTGCAGGCGCTGGCGATGCTGCTGCTGTGGTCGCCGCCGCTGCTGCTGTGCCGAGCGCTTCGCGGGGCGCGCTGCCCAGAGCCCTGCGACTGCGCCCCCGACGGCGCCCTGCGCTGCCCCGGCCCACGCACCGGCCTCGCCCGACTGTGAGTATGAGGCGCCCGGGACCCCTGCCCTCGATACCCAGTGTTGGTATCCTTTGCCAGAAAAGGACACATGCTTCACTAGCAAAAGTTCCATCCTTCAGGGTAATGAGAACCCAGAGCTTGAGGCTATCTTTGCCACATAGTGCCCTTGGTAGCTCAGTCCTGCATTGTCCCAATGGGGAGACTGAGGCAGGTGACATAAAACTGCCCTAAGGCACAGGAGGCCTCTCAATGCAGCTTGCCTGAAGGGCAGGTGGGTGGTATGCCACTCGATCACTTGTGGTCCCTGCCTGAGCGTTCTTAGGTGGTCCTGAGCCTTGGCCAGCCAGGCCCTCTAGGAGCTAAGTGCTCAGGCCCTCCGGCTAAGGAGGGCCTGATTTATAGGCAAGGATGCTGGAAATCTGGCCTCCCTCCACCACCTGCCTCAGATGTACTTACACCTCAGTGTGTCAGCTAATGAGTGAAAGGCCTGTGTGATCCACTCACAGTGGTGACTAAGGGAATAAGCATAAAGACATGGCTTCCTGAAACCAGGGGATAAAGACAGGAGGGGACCTCCTTAGTACTAGTGTATCAAGTCTCCTTCCATTTAGGAAAGGATTCCACATGCTTCATGATCCTGTTTCTATGAAATGGCCAGAGGGACTGCAGGTAGGTTAGTAGTTCCGAAGGGCTGAGGTGGGTAGGGAGCAGTGGGTGTCTGCTAATGGCTCTGGCACTGGGGGTGATGAAATTTTTCTAAAAGTAAAATTGTGGTATGGTTTCACATGAACATACTAAAGGCCAAGGCATTGTGCACTTGAAATAGGTGAATTTTGTTACACAACTTATGTTTCAATAAAACGGTTAAAGGAAGGGAAGGGGGGAGGTGCCAGAAATATACCTAAGGTGTATGGCTGGTGGAGGTCTTCACCGTGTTCTGTTTGAAATGATGGGATTCTGTGCTGGGGGTGGGGAGAGTCCTTGTCATTAGCCCTGGAAGACCAGTAGCCTGTGTGGGCTGGCTGCATGGAGGAGTTTGTCCTCCCTGAGGGGCTGGTCTGCTCCCCAGTAGATGAGTTAATGGCCTTCTGAGAATAGTTGTGGTTGAGAGAAACAGTTTAAGGGTTGAGGGGTTTCTATTAATTAGTTTCCATTAATTATCTTGTCAGCTTTATTCCCTGAAGGTGATGACCATGCTGATAGAATTTGTTTCAATCAATCAACAAACCCATGGAACCTACCTTCCAAGTTCCAGCCCTGTCCTTCCAAGACAAGCCTCCCATATTGCTCTAATGAATGACTGTGTCACTAACAGCCCTCCTGACTTCCCTGATACTTGTACACATTAGAAGACACTGAGATCCAAAGAGATGCAATAACTGGCTCAAGGTCCCTCAACTATTATGTTGCAAAGAGGGAACTTTATTAATTGCCTTTCTGTATTTGTCTATCAATTAAAAAATATTCCCAGCTTCTCTAACTTTGGTGCTGGGTGGTAGAGATCTGCCTAGAGCAGGGAATGAGGAAGAAATGGATGAGTCAAGTCCTAACTCCTTTGGAGCTCAGCTTTGCACAAGATCTCCCTTCGACTACTGAGACCACATTTATGTTGGCTCAGGACAGGACCCCTGACAGACTCCTTCCCTGAAGGAAGGTGACATGAAAATACAAGACACTGTTCCACTGCCCCACAGCATGGTTTAAACAGCCTTCAAAAGATTTGCAGTGTTCTCTCAGGCTAGGTGGGAGGCAGGCACAATACAAATATAGCTAGCAAGTCTGGTTTTCTGGGTGGACTTGGTTCTCCAGGCTTGGACATCCTTTACTATCCATGAAGAATCCTGGAGAATCCTGAGCCCTCCCTCCATGGCCCTACCTTAGAATCCACCACTGAAAGCATCCTCTCTTAGACTTACAGCCCTGTGACAAATGTGACAATCCTTACAAGGTCATGCTCCCTAAGACCCAACATCTGAGATGTGACCTTGTCTTTTAGGTGAGAACTCCACAGAAAAACACCATCCATATAAAAGCCAACATCCACGTACAAAGGGAGATGCATATGAAACAGTAGGATGTGCTTCAAGACAATGTTTCTCAAAGTGTGATCCTGAGCCAGCAACAGGAGCACCACCTGCTTAGAAGTGTATCTCAGACCCCGCCCAGCATCAGGAACTCAGAGGAGGACACCCAGCATCTGCATTTTAACACTTCCCTCAGGAGATTGCAATGCACACTAAAGTTTGAGAACCAAGGCATTTTCTATGGTGCTATAAGCTTCCTCTAGCTATATAAGTTATTTCCCCATCACCCCTCTGCACATGCATGCCTATTTATTGGGGGGAAAATCATAAAATTAAAGCCCCAAACTCAGAAACAGTTGGGAAGTAATCAGGACAGAAGAAGGTTTTACTTTGTTCTTCTTCAAGGAGGAATAAAGGAAGAATTCCATAGAGAAGCTCAGGCTGAGGACACAGAGATGAGGGAAGACTCATTTATTAGAGTCCGCCCTCAACTGCGGCAGGAAGTGGCAATCTAAGGACCTAAGGGAAATAGGGTAGGCAGGTCTGTGTGCTGAGGGAAGGAGGTGGGTAGGTGAAACATTGAAGTAAAAGACAGAAAGTGGATGGTCACAGGCTGACACCTCCTGTTCAGGAGAATAAATGGATGAAGCAGTAGAAAATCATTACAAGACAGAAAAATTGTGTGGCTGATAAATCATGAGGAGTTAATAAGAAGAGAGCTAAGGTTTTTGAGGCAAGTCTTCCAGAAGGGACCTGTGGTCTTGTAGGCATGTGTCTGCAAGGATTTGGCTTTGCAGCAGAGGTGGCCCAGGCTCCGGGAGCTGGGAGAAAAGAGAATGCCAAAGTGCCTCAAAATTCATCAGTGACCCCTGTAGATGCCACCTGCTTTAGTCATTTCAGGCCCTGAGAACTTTGCTTTCTAAGACCTTTGTCTAAAGTTCACTATTTGGTTTTAAAAGAACAAAAAAGGTAAATGAATGATAATTGCTTATCACTGACAAGCCCAACTGCTTGTAAATTCTCCAAAAGGCACTGTTCACATTATTCCCATTTTTCCTCTCCTTCTCATTAAAGACATACATATTTAAAACCTAAGCTATGATATAAGAAATAGCCTCTGAAGTTTTTAGTTGTTTTAATTGGAGGTGGGGAAAAGAAAATGGAAAAATTTTGATTTAAAAAATTTCCTTTCTTTTTATTAGCTCTAGGCAACTGGATGGAGGGGAAAATCTCACCTTACATACAGTTATATAAAGATCTTTGTCTCTATGACAACAGAAAGGTTGATCTGCTTGATATAGAAACAGCTTCTGAAAAATCTGTTAGTTAAGTAATGGCAATTTATTTTTTGCACGTTGTACCTACTAAGCAGGGGTTAAGCTTTTAGATGTTATTATATGGCATAATCCAGAGACTCTGTAAAGGGAAAATGTGAGAACCCACTAGTCGGGAAGATGAGCATCCTGACATCTTTGTTGAGCGTCTCCCTCTTTCCCCCACTCCACTGGAAATCAGGGTTGAGAACAGTGCTCAGAGATGAAGCAGCATGCACACAGGGATTGTGGCTCGGTCCCAAGGTCCAGGGGGAAATATACCCAAGGGATTGGTGTAGGAGGGAGAAAGGATACAAGGCTCTATGGATTTTAGAAATCTGGCAAATGATGAGAGACTGAGGTCTCCAGAAGGAGGCTTCCTGGGACAAGATAAGGAAACTGGATCTCAAAGCAAAGGAGAAAAGAGTCCACATGGGAAAACCACAGATTAGACTAGAGGGTACCTGCTGAGAAGCAAAGAACAAGGCCCAGTGAGTTCTTCCCTCTTCTTGCCTCTCCCAGACTCTTTGAGGAAATTTTTTTCAAGGAAGATGGAAAGTCATCAGAAATCTTTTTTTTAACTTTTACAAAAACTTTATGGAGAATTTTATACATGCATATAAGGTGTTTTGTCAAATCCATGCCCAGTCCCTCCCTTCCAACACCTCCCATATCTCCCCACCACTTTTTTCTTTTTCTTTTTTTTTTCTTCTTTCATTTATTTATTTTTGTAGGACTTCTGGGTACTCTAACATTCCCCCCTCTGAAGAGGTAACCCTAAAATCATTTAAGGATTAGATATAAGCTCCCAAATACTTTTGACATTTTTGGCCTTTGGAACAGAGTATGTTGCTAAGAGGCCCAGTGACATTTTGACTTTTAGCCAAGACACTGGCTACTTTTCTTTGGGGTTGTTTTACCCTAACTGCCTAGCCAATTCCTACCTCCTATTCTTATCACACCATCCTCTGAAGGGGTTGCCCAAATTGCCAATAGGGAATAGGGATGCAGACCTCTCTGGCTTCTTCCATGCTGAACAGGGACACAGGGTGAGGCAATTGGAGTACCCCTTCAGTGGGTCTATCTAAAAGACTCCCAAACTGCATAACTCTTACGTCTAAGGGGAAAAGAAAGTTCCTGAATCATGAATAGGAAATGTGAAGGAGAAGTAAAGGCAAGAGTAATTAGCATTACAAGTTCTAGACAAGGAACTAGAAAAAAGTCAGAACAGGGCAGTTTTCAAATGTTCGTATGAGAGGCCATTGGAATTTCTTGACAAAGACTTCCAAAAGCATCCCTCTATTGGGTTCTTCCTCATTTTTCTTTTGTCTTCCAAGGCTGGACTCTAGAGTGATGGATTCAGGATTTGCTTTCAGGTATTTTGGTAGCTGTTGGAGTAGTTAGAATCAGTGTCAGTTCCCTCTCAAAGGCTTCTAAAGAGAGAGAGAAAACAAATTTATCCATCATTTTAGAACAATAGCAGATTGTCTCCCTTAGATACAGGTGGGCACTATAGTATTGGAGACCAAGATTTGAAGTCTTACATCTGAGTAGCACTTTCTGCTTAGGAACAAAATGATCAACGAGAAATAATTGTCTAAAAACTTTTTATATAGACTTAAGCCTAATGTCTAGGAAGTGTAATCCCTTGAACCCTTAAAGAAATATACTGATCACTTTA